CAGATGTTGGTAGTGATTGTTATTGTTTGTTTTGTCTCAGTGGCCTGGGGTTTCCTTAGGTTATCCAGGGACCTGCATTCCGCTGGCTCAGCACTCTCACAGGATGGCCGAGAAGCTGGGCTCTGGAGTCAGTCGGAGCATCAGGAACTCAACAATGACTTCTTGAGCAGCTGCTACATGCCAGGCCTGTTCCAAGCAGTGCACACACAGGTGTCCCTGACCCACAGAGCTGTCTGGGAGGGAGACAGACATTACACAGCACACAAGCTCACAGATAATGATACATTGTGATACTGCCACAAAACAGAGGAACTAGGCATGAAAGACAATAAGAGGGTAGAGCCTGGTGGGCTGAGGGGGTCAGCAACGCTTCTCTGAGAGATAGCATTTTAGCTGCTACATGAAGGTGGCAGGAAAAAGAGCACTGAAGGTGGAAGAAACAGCTGTGCAAAGGCCCTGAGGTGGGAACTGAAAGCTAGGGAGCCTAGGGGCGGAGGAAGAGAAGAGTAGAGAAATGTGAGCTTGAAGAGATGTGCAGGTAAAGGTCTTAGTAAGGAGCTTGGTCTTTATGTCAAATTAAGATCCTATGAGGAGTTCTAATCAGAGCAGTGACACACCAAGGCCTGTCCTTCAGAAAGTGACCCACTTTAGGTCCAGGAAAGGCCTGTGTGAAAGATGCTGCGTGAGGTCTGAACCCAGAGCCTCCTTCACTGGCTGGAAACCATCATACAAAGGTGAGGTCTAGTCTCAATTAGGCAACCTTAGATAATGCACCTTCCCTGCCCAGATTCCGCGCTGGTTGTGAAGCGTGACGACGGGAGCAATTTGCATACATTGCAAGATTATTGCTGGGGCTCATTCCTTGTGAGACGAAGAACAGCATCAGTCACTGGAAACACCTGTTTGGGTCACGGGACTCATTCCCTGCCAGTATCAGGGACTTTCCCACAGGTCCCTCGTTTCTTTTTGCTGCTTCTGAGTGACTCCATTTGTGGCACTTTTACACCCCCTGGAATCTCCATCTCGCCCTCTTCAGTCGCTGAGGTTTCCTGCATCCCAGTGTTGGCCCCACTGACTCCTGCCCTGCTGGCGACCGGGGTGAACGGCCGTGGCTGCCACTGATGTTTGAGGCCGTGTGTCTGAGCTCCTGATCCACCTCTCTGCCCATTCATGTGACACACATGGGACTCTTCAGCAGGAACTCGTTGACAAGAACTTGAGCTTACAGCTTTGAAGGGTCTGACTGTTCTTAATCTTGTCATTTTCAAGGTGGGTGTTATCCAAGATATTCAACAGAATTAAATGTGAAAAGGGTTCCATCGACAATGAATTCAGGGTACCCTGTTTCGACACATTTTAGCAGCTTTCTTTATTACAGGACTTTCCAGAACATTTAATATGCTAATGTGGATTATAAACCTCAAAAAAGGAGTGATATATATTTATCCTTTTTTTCAAGAGCATCCTATAGACTGGTGTTTGAAAGCACGTGCCCCAGGAAATACCATCCATATCCACTAAGTGACATGAGAAAGGACACCTCAAAATGTCCAGTGTGGGCTGGGCCAGTGGCTGCCTTTCCTCCCAGGCTCCAGGCTGCTGGGGAGGGGACAGTCTCAGACTCCTCAGTTCCCACACCAGAGCCCAGCACAGGATGAGGGAGGGTCTCTGCTTCCCCGGCCCAGCCAGCACAGCCTGTCCCTCGGTCCCCCGTTATGGACGGCTCCTGGAACTGGGTGAAAGCTACCGTGGCTCCGTTGTCCACAGAGATATGTTGGCATGGATGGACATTGTTTAACCTACTTAAAAAAATAAAAAGTGTTTAGGCTTTTATCTTCCTTTTTAATTATTAAACAAGTACATGTTTTTTTAAAGCACACACCTCCTTTCAACTCCTCCCCACCCCTATCCGTAGAGTTCCTTATTAAGGTTTTGCCTGTAGGTGGGGGAGAAAGCTGGTCTAGGGTCAGCGTGACTGGGTTGGAATCCCAGCTCTGCCGCGTGCTAGCTGTGCATCCTTGGGCACAAGCCTCAGTTTGCGCATCTGTAAAATGGAGGCACCACAGTAAGCGCTTGGGGGAGGATTGAGAGAGATGAAACACGGGAAGCCCTCTACCAAGTCCCTGCACCTAGTTGGATTTAGTTAAATTTGACTCTTAGGATTTTCTTTCCAGAATCCAGCTACTTTTTTTTTTTTATCCTCACCCGAGGACATTTTTCCATTTTTTACTCAGATAGAGCGGGAAGGAGAGAGAGAAACATCAATGTGAAAGGTACACATCGAGCGGCCGCCACCCACACGACCCAACCAGGGCCGGGGACAAACTGCAGCCAAGGTACATGCCCTTAGCGGGAACCGAACCCGGGTCTCTGTGGACCGCAGGCTGATGCTCTAACCGCTGAGCCAAACCGGCCAGGGCCAGCTACTTTTTTTTTTTTTTAAGTCCAATTCCATGCAATGAATGTGCTAATTGCAGAATGAGCCAATCTCTTCAGTCTGTTCATGTGATTTTTTAAAAGTCCACAGGGGCAGTTTCTAGATGCGGAAACCACTCTTCAGAGGTTTATTTTATTTTTCAAATAATATTTAAATTATTAAAGTTAATAATTCAAAAACAGATTAGTTTGCTCTTTCATCTTATAGGGTAGCTGATTTTTCATGTTGAGAATTAAAATAATGCCTTCCCCAGGACCCTGACAAGGTGGTTATTGCCTTAGAAAATGTCATGCTTTTAAGTTCAGCTTATGAAAATTCTTATTCTTTTTATAAGTCTGGCCAGGATTGCCAGATAAAATACAAGGTGCCCAATTAAATTAGAATTATCTAAAGGTCAAATGTACTTAGGGCTCTGTATTTTTATTTGTAAAACTCTATATCCAGAAAACTTAAATAATTCCTTTTAAGGGGTTATGGACCCATTTACAAAATTTAAAAACTTTTTTTAGAGTTTAAATTTTACCCTATTTCCTTGTAAAGTTCTTTAACTGTCTGAACTAACAAAAAGTCATCCTTTTTAATACTAAATAATTTTAACTTTAATAAGTTAAACTTATAAAACACTGTTAACCTAAAATTAAAAAAACAACAACATTTCTTGGAGAGAAAGAGGAAGGAGAGGGAGAGAGAGAGAGATTTGTTGTTCCACTTAATCATGCAACTATCAGTTGAGTCCTGTGTATGCCTTGACTGGGATTGAACCTGCAACCTTGGTGTATCTGTTGACACTCTAACCAACTTAGCAACCCAGCCAGGGTCTTAACCTAAACTTTTTATAAAGGTTTCAGAACTGTACATTAACTTCGGTTTCAAGTTAAAGTCACGAATCTAATCAATGTCCCCCCACCCCAAAAGCACATTTTATGTTGGCGTTGCAAGATTGTCAATTTAATAGGCCAAAATTTTCTCCTGTGTGACAAATTTATAAAATACCACGTATGTACAAATTCCTTCTTAAAAGACACACAAAAAATGTGTGCCTCACTTAATTCTTCCTCTGGTTGGAAGATGCCATTCGCCAAGGAAGACAGTCACCACCCATTGACCAGAGCTGCCTTCACCAGAGGTTCAACCAGGCCCGAGAGCTGTATGTAGATGACAGGGGATCCGGCTCACCAGGAGCTCAGGAAACCACTATGTCCTTCCAGGAACTATCTGGGTTATCTCCTTAGAATGCCCGGGGGCACTTGGCCAGAGATTTTGGCCAGGATGCTGACTGGATGTGTGCTGCCAATATACATATATTCCCTGGGGCTATGGCCACATGCCCATCACTTCAAGAGGAGGTGGTCCAGAGATGCCGATGCTGGCTTCAAGTTCTGCTCATTATCTACCCTCTTTACAGAGGGATTTTCTTTGCCAAAAGCTGGAAATCTTACCTGGGTTTACAACTTGATTGAACTTTATTTATTTATTTATTTATTTATTTATTTATTTATTTATTTATTTCCTTTACTGATTTTGGAGAGAGGAAGGGAGAGGAAGAGAGAGAAACACTGATGAGAGAGAACATTGATTGGCCACCTCCTGCATGCCCCACACTGGGGATTGGGCCCACAACCTGGGCATGTGCTCTGAACGGGAATCAAACTGGTGACCTCTTGGTGCGTGGGTTGACACTCAACCACTAAGCCACACCAGCCAGGCTGAACTTTATTTATTATTATTATTATTATTTTATTTTTATTTTCAGCTCTTCATATTTTCCTGCCCAAATCTCTAAAAGTCATTTTACTTGGGCTGAAATCCTACAATTCTTGCAAAACCTTCCTTTGTCGGGACCACATGACTCTCACAAACCTTATATCAGGTTGAATCATGGATCCCTCCAGGAGCTTTAACTGGCTCTTTGTCCTTAAAGCCCAAGGACATCTCACTGACCCCTTCTAGCAGACCTGGCTTGCCCTGGCAACACACTGCTAGCATGTGGTGTGTTAAATTGTTATGCAGTAAAACGGCCTTTAAAAATTAAGTCATTCAAACCTAACTTGACCTTAATTACGCCCATCAGAGTGGTTACAGAATCAGAGCCTGAGTGTGTCAAGGGACAGCTGGCTGCCAAATCCTGGTGATGGCAGAAAACGCAGCAGAATTTCCCACTGCCCTTGCCTCACTGTCCCCCCACAGAAGGCTCTGTCACCCCAGGTGCTCTCTGGGCTGGACCACTTCCAGGTTTATTAGTTCTCAGGAAAAGGCACATGGCCATTTGCGACCACAGGAGAGATCACCAGATGTCACAGCTGGCTCCCAGTAGCTGAGATAGAAGTGACTTTCCAGGGGATGATGCCTGAACTAGGCAGGCCAGTTTCCTCACAGAGTGACAAAAATCAGAGATCCTACAAGACTAGCCCATTTCCTTCATTTCCTTGGGGAAAGGAACCCATGATCTTCAGTTCCTCCGAGAAGTGAAAGTAGCAACAAGGAATCCAGTCATTCCTGTTATCCGCAGGCTTTATAAGTCAGCACAGCAGGAGGAGTAGCCTAAGGAGGTGGCAGAGCCTGCACTGCTGTCCTCCCACAGAGCCCGGACCCAGGAGCAGCGCCAGGATGCCTACGCCGCTGGCTGCCCTGCTTCTCCTCTTCTCCATCAGTGGCCACCTGGCCCTTAGGATCTGCTCCTTCAACGTGAGGTCCTTTGGGGAAAGCAAGATTGGAAACCAGAATGCCATGGATGTCATTGTGAAGGTGAGCCCCTCACACCCTCTCTACTGCTTTCAGACTTGAAGAGACTCAGGAGGAACTGAACTCAAGTTAGTTCCTTGAGTGAAGGTAGCAACTGGCTTGGAATTTTGTAACAATAACAACAGCGGTCATGCTAGCAGCCACTTTACCTCTCTGTGTCATCATCTTAAAATGGGGACAATAACAGTCCCTCCCTGCAGGACAGTTCGGAGGAACATGTGAGCTGATTAATCTGAAGCTCCTAAAACAGGACCTGGCCCACCTTATCTCAGGGACGGGTTGGCTCCTACTATGATTCTTATTGCCATTTGCTGAAAGCTATGTCAGGCAATATGGATACAAGGTTTCATTGAATAACCCTGAGGGAGGAGGATACTCATCCCCATGTAGAGATGCGGAACAGTGAAAGGTGAAGTAACATGGCAGCTTGCGGGTGGGTGGAGAGCTGGGCCGCCAGCCGCCATCAGTGCAGCACGGATGTGTACTTGCTTTCCACCTTCCTTTCCTTCTCTTTCTTTCCCTTTTTCGGGCTACCCTCCCCTCTTCCTCTCTTCCTTCTGCCCTCTCCTGACCCTATCAACTTTTTCCCCACTCCCAATTTTAATATTTGTCTCCACTTAGATAAGACTTTTCCTGAATAATATAATCAATGCCTGGGAACTGCCCACACTTCTCGAATCAGTTGACTCTCCTGACCCCACAGGTTAATTTATTTTTGATGCTGGTTGCTGAAAACTTTTCCAGGACTCTGGGTGTTATTACCTTAGAAAACTCGGAGGCACCATGGTATAGGGGGAATGCCGGGAGCCTGGGTTCAGATCCCGCATGGCAGCAGGGCGAGTGGGCTTTGCTCCCTGGGCCTCACCCAACCTGCAGCACAGGTCGGCTGAGCGAAGTCAGGGTGACTAAGGCAACAGGCGGGTGGTCACAAACAGGAGCGGCTGCTGCTGTTCTCAGGAAAGTGGATGAGTGTGAGGACTGACGCCCTTGCTCTAACTCAGACCTGCGTCCCTGCCCTTTGGATGGTACCCAAGACCTTCCAGATGTAATTTTTTGCCAGGACAGCCATGCCAAGCCTGTGAGAACTGTGACTCCCTGGCTCAACTGGAAACTGACATATGAGGAAACTGTTTTCCCCACTTCCCCAAGGGAAAGGGCCCATGGAGCCTGGGTACCTGCTCAATTCCCACCCCCTCCTCACTTACCCAGCCAGGAAATGTCACCACAGTCTTAAGAGGCTGACATTTTGTTCTTTGGTGATTCTACTGAGGGGCCCTCAAGCCAGCACCTCCCTTAAGCCACTGTGTCCTAGAGGGGGGACTGATGGACAGCCCATCACACCAGCACCAAGCATGTCTGAAGTCTTCGCCAAGGCCCCTGCCCTTCCCCATCACTGCCAAACCCTCCTGTAAGCAGAGACTGGAAAACAGAGCCACCCAAAGCTCTTACAGCGACACTCAAGTCCCAGGCCCTCAGGGTGGCAGTCTTCACAGGGCCCCTTGTCTGAGCACCTGCTGTAGGCCAGGAACTCTATATTCCTATTAGATGCTGTGACATAGGGGGCACTGCCCTCACTTTATCGCTGAGACTCAGAATGGTGAGGTGACTTATTCAGGCTTCCATAGCTAGTAAGGGGAAGAGCCAGGTTCAAATCCAACCACATAAGCGGAAACGCCTTTTCCACTCTTCCCTGCTGGGCTGATCACATCAGAGATGGGCCCAGCATCATCGTGCTGTTGTCATGGCCTTCGCTGGGGAGGTTGGGGAGTGAGGAAGGCCTGCCTTCTCCATCTTGGGTTTGCTGGCTGGCACCATGGGCAACTCTCCAGAGGCCAAATCCTGCCTGGGAAAGGTTCCCTCTGTCTGTGACTTCTTGAGTGTCCTTAAAGAGTAGAGCTTGTTCACCCAACAGATACTCACTGAAGGTAGGCCATGTGCCAGACGCCGCGAGGCGCTGGAGTGAGACAGGGGTGTGGGAGGGCCTCTTCACAGAACCCCCAGCACGTGATCGTTGAATTTAGGCCCTTAGTATGCTGCGTGCAGGTTCAGCCTGACAGCCCGTCTGATCGCTAGACCCCTGTTACAGATGAGGCAGCTGGAGTTCAGAGAGGTGAGGTAAGTTGCCCAAGGTCATGGAGCAGAACCGAGGCCCGGCTGACGCCATCTGGGCTCTTCCCCACCTTCCTGTGCCGTCCGGGCTTAGAGGCATGAGAGAGGCTTCATAGGCTGCTCTCTGCCCCAGATTTTTCCAGAGTGCTCAAGACTGGCCCCTCCCCCTTCCCCAGGTCCACTCACACACTCACAATACCCCCTGCTGGGATCCCCCTTCCCCCCACTAGCAGTGCACTGCCCCAACCCCTCGCCTCTGTGAACGGTCTGGAAAGTCCCACTGAGTTTCAGGTCTGGGAGGGCCATCTGGGACCCAACTCCTAGGTCGGTCCTCCTGAGGAAATGGAACCAGGGGAAATAGATTTTTCCTCGTCTGAAATATATTTTTCTAGCCTGAAATTGAAGCAGAAAAAAATGTGTCATGAATGAATTTGAAAACTGAATAATAACTATGGGGGAAATACACTGTAATATTAGGTTTTTAAAAAAAGACCATAAGACCAAAACTGTAGGTAAACATTGCCGTTGTCTGCTGAACATCTGTCTGTGCCGAGGACTGGACCGAGAATTTTACCTCCACTGTGTCATTTATCCTCATGATGGGGGAATTGTCCCAGTTCGCAGATAAAGAATCTGGCAGTTCATCCCGGCCAGTGTGGCCCAGTGGTTGAGCATCGACCCATGCACCAAGAGGTCACTGGTTTGATTCCTGGTCAGGGCACATGCCCAGGTTGTGGGCCTGATCCCCAGTGGGAGACATGCAGGAGGTGGCCCATCGATGTTCTCTCTCATCATTGTTTCTGTCTCTCTCTCCCTCTCCCTTCCTCTCTCTCTAAACTGAATAAAGAAAAACATTTTTAAAAAAGAAGAAGAATCTGGCAGATCTGGGAGCTTAAGTGGCTTGCTCAAGGTCACACAACTGGTGAGAGAGAGAGTCCAGACATGAATCCAAGGCCATCTGACTCAAAGTTGATGCCAACTTTGCAAATATAGAACACAGAAACCATATGGAAAAGGTGCTTCTCCTGCATCTTGACCCACTGAGCTCCTGCTCACCTTTCAGGGCCTTCAAATGCCCTCTCCTCCTTGGAGCTGTCCTCGATGTCTGGGCAGAAGGACTTAATTCTTCCTCAATGTTCCTATAGCTGTGACTTGTTTAGCACAGATTTCATTTCCCTCTCATTGTAGGTAGTTGTTTCCATGTGTCCCTCTCACTAGACTATCTGTCTTTCAGGGTGGGGCTGTATTGTTTTTATTTTTTATTTTTTTGTGGTACGTGCCCCTAGCAGGAACCGAACCTGGGACTCCCTGGTCTGCAGGCCAGCGCTCAACTGCTGAGCCAAACTGACCAGGGCTGGGGGCTGTATTTTAACAGTCTAGCCTGGTGGGCTTTACAGTCACACAGACAGGAGTTAAAATCCTGGCCGTACCACCTGTGCTGGCTGTGTGCTTTCAGCGAGTCATTCTGCAGCCTGAGCCTGCTTTCCTCCGGTGCTTCACGGACAGACAGTCACTGCATAGCGTTGGTGAGGCTCGGCATAGGCTCCCATGAATGTCCGCTTTTATAAGTATTATCATTATAATTATACCTCAGTATCCAGCCTGGTACTTTCCATTTATTAAGGGCTTATAAATATTGATTATTATTATTGTAATTATTCAAGCAAAGCCAAAAAGTCGGGTGTGACCATAGGCTCTGGATTCGGATTGCAGGGTTCATTCTGCCTCCGCCACTTGCTGGCTGGGTGACAGGACACTTTCCTCATCTCTCACCTCTCCGGAGCCTCAGGCTCCTTGTCTTTGAAATGGACCAGTAATAGCACCTACCTCAGGGAGTCCTTCATTTGTTTAAGGCAAGAAGTTAATTAATTTAACAAAGCACTCAATTTGATACTTAAAACATAGCAAGTGCCCCCCAAACGTTTCTTTGTTATTTGTAGTAAGTGCTGTCAAACACCTGGAATTCTCTCTCTGCAGGTCATCAAACGCTGCGACCTCATACTCCTGATGGAAATCAAGGACAGCTCCAACAAGATCTGTTCCGTGCTCCTGGAGAGGCTGAATGGGTAAAGATGAGGCCCCAGACCCTCTGGGGTTTGAGGTCAAGTGCAAGGGCACCTGAAAAGCCCCAGGGAACTGAACTTAGTATGAAAGCAAGCATCACTCTGGCCACAGTTTACATGGCCGATGCTGCCTGGGCTTCCAAGTCCATTAGCCACAGTCCTAAAACCTTCAACCAGCTGGTTTTAATATGATAAAGCGAAGTAAGCGAAAGAGATGAGGAGCCAGGACAGTGAGAGACATGAAAGAAACAGACAAGAGGCTGAGCTGAGACGTACTGTTATAAAGAAAGATTGAGTGCCAGTAGGAAACTATGAAATGCCCACAGAATGGACTAGTACGTAGCCATTATAAATCATGTTTACTCCAGAATAGGTTAGGCCAGAACAGTCCAGCAGGGAAAACTGGCTGCAACTGAAAACAAGTTCAGAATGGTTACTCTACCTACACGTCACAGAGGAGCAGAGCGTGTCTGAGTTTGCATGGGCACCGAAGAAAGACTGCTCCAGAATGTTCGCAGTGGTTACTTTGGGGGCTGTGGTGGGAGGACCATTGTGGAGGGGTCAGTGAAGAATGGGAACATTTGCTTTTTATTTTTATATACTTTTTTATTTTTGTTACAAATATTTCTCCTTTTTTACCCATTGACACCCTCCTTCCCATCCCTCCCCACCCCATCCCCGGCTTTGTTGTCCATGTCCGTTGGTTATGCGTACATGCATATAAATTCTGTGGTTTATCTCTTCCCTGCCCCCACCACCTCCTCCTTTGAGGGTCATCAGTCTGTACCCTACTTCCACGTCTCTGGGTCTACCCTATTCCTCAGACTGTTATGTTCATTATATTCCACAAATAAGTGAGATCATGTGGTATTTGTCTTTTTCTGCTTGGCTTGTTTTGCTTAGGATAATACTTTCCAGGTCCCTCCATGTCGTCTCAAAGGATAAGAGATCTTTCTTTCTTACAGCTGCATAGTACTCCATTGTGTATATGTACCACTGCTTTTTTATCCATTTGTCTACTGATGGACACTTGGGCTGTTTCCAGATCTTAGCTATTGTAAATAGTGCTGCTATGAACATGGGGGTACATATATACTTTCTGATTGGTGTTTCAGGCTTCTTAGGGTATATTCCTAGAAGCGGGATCACTGGGTCAAATGGCAGTTCAATTTTTAATTTGTTGAGGTAACACCATAGTGTTTTCCATAGCGGCTGCACCAGTCTGCATTCCCACTGGAGTCCCCTTTTCTCCACACCCTCGCCATTCTGACAGGTGTGAGGTGATACCTCATTGTTGTTTTAATTTGCATCTCTCTGATGATTAGTGATGTTGAGCATTTCTTCATATGTCTCTTGGCCATTTGTATGTCCTCTTTGGAGAGGTGTCTATTCGGCTCCTCTGCCTATTTTTTAATTGGGTTCTTTGTCTTCCTTTTGTTGAGTTGCATCTGATTTTTTAAAACTTTTAATATAATGTTTCTTTTGTAGACACATGATAAGATTAAACAACAAACTCGAGCATACAATATGTGCCAACTAGTTCAGTTATGTAAAAAAAATAAAACAAAACAAACAACATATAAAAGATTCAAAAGCAGTAAACAAAAATGTTGACAGTGGCTATCTTAGAATACAAATTTATAAGGACTTTAAATGTGATTTCTTCTGTACATTTTCTCTAGGTTCCAAATTTTTCTACAGTGAGAATGTTACACTCCCCCCCCCTTTTTTTTTTCTTATGAAATACTTTAAACATACTTCAAAGCACAGAGAAAATAAAAACAAACAGCCACGTAGCCACCATCCAGACTGAACAACAGTACACCTGGCTGTTATTACACTTTTGTAATTAGGAAATGATGTTCACATTCTGTAGAAATGAACGGTCAATCCAGGAGGAACAGCCATGGCCACTGTCCTTCCCGCAGACGGCCCCTGGGCTGGCCCCAGCCCTCTCTGGTTTTCTCATCTGAAAAGACAGAGTTGGAGCTGAGCTCCTTTCTATGCTCGGCAGGGCTTCTGTTTCTGGATCTGATCTTTGACAATGGAAGAGGGCCTGGGTAGCACAGTTTAGGCACCTCTGTTCGGCTCACACACTTGGGTGTGGATCCTGGCTCTGCCATGACCTCAAACAAGTTACCTACCTCCTTTTCCCTGTCTCTTAAATGGGACTACTCATAGAGTCTGTCTTCCTGGGATGTGTCGGTGATATAATCATGCATGTAAGAGGCTGCGCTGTGCCTGGCATGTAGCGGTGTCTTTTACTAGTCAAAGGAAGAGAATTCTAATGGCAGATGATGGTCCATGGGCCACATGTGAGAGGTACCATTAATACCCTGACTGTGGGCCAGGCATCCTGTGAATTCATTTATAACCCTGTGGGGTAGATAATATGACTGTTTCCCTTATAGCTGAGGGAACTGAGGCACAGGGAAGAAGGACCAGCCCAAGGTCACCCAGCCATTAAATGGCTGAGCCTACTTTTGAACCTGGGTCATGTCTGATTCCAAAGCCAGTGCTCTATTCTGAGCCCCCTCAGTTGTCCTTAAAGTGGCCCTGGTCAGTTTCCAGGAGTATGGGGGGCTGAGCGACAGGCGTCTTCAGGCATCTCCCCCAGTCTGTCTGGAGTGAGTCTTCCTGCATCTAGTGGTCTCAGTTTCCCAAGCTCCCTAGACTGTCCTATGGACCCCGGCAGAACCAGGCCTGTTTGTCCCTTTCTCCTGTAAACCAGGAGGGACCTTAGTCAGTTCACAGCTGAGTCATTTCTAACAGTTTGCCAACCAAGCACTTAGCAGTCCAGAAGCAGATGAGGGCCAGCCTTCCCAAACTGAAGCCCAGAAGAATCAACTGTCCACACTCCTGGGGCCCCAAAGGCCAATCTGCCTTAGCCCGGAATGTCTGTGGGGTCTAAGTTGGCCCCTAAAAACCCCCTTCGCTTTTTTCCAACTGAAACTGAGACTATGCCTCAGCTTAGACATGCCCTAGATTTCTCTGCAGCCAGATAGAGTAAAACCGGGTCCGGCTCTGCCCAGGGCGGAGTCATCAGCGGGTTTAGCAAACACACTGAGAGTCAGGTTTCTCTGGGATTGGCCATGGTGAGGCTCAGTGGGATTTCATGGCTGTATCCCCAGCCCCCAGAACATAAACAATAGCTGATTTGAAATTATAGTTCTGGGCTTGTGAGAAAATGCTTGGGGGTTTTCAGAGCAGGAAAGAATGTCCAACAAAAATGTTACTAAGAATCCTACATACAATAAATGCTCAGGAGTGGGGCATGGATAGGGTGACCTGATAAGGTTGTTCTATCAGGAAGTATGAGCTGCAGCCCCATGGGCCAGAGTGGGGTTTGGGGCTGATTCTAGCCTAAAGCTTCTATGGTCTCAATGGTCTCCCAGAGGTACAGGCCAAAACGTGGATTTGAAGGTGAGTAGGATCTGGGTTTAAATCCCAGCTTTGTACTTGCAAACTATAAAAATGGGCTAACAACAGTATCCACCTATAAGGACAAGAAATAATGGCTGTAAAGACCCTGGCAGATGTCACATTTCCAGTCAATGGTGGTCTTTCTACATGATGCCATTGGACATATGGAGGCAGATTGGAGAGAGGGGAACCTTCGCAGTAGGAGAATGTTTTTTTTTTAAGAGGCAATGTAAAATCTTTATGTTTTCTAGATTTTCAAGAGACACAACATACAACTGTGTGATTAGCTCTCGGCTCGGAAGAAAGACATATAAAGAACAGTATGCCTTTCTCTATAAGTAAGTATACTCTATGCTTCCTGGCACATGGTTCATGTATGAATGATGGCTGTGAACTGAATCAAAATGTATGTTTTTTCTCCAAAACCAAATTTTGATCTCTAACCAGTTCTCAGTATCTATCAAAATAACTGCCGTCAAAATTGGGACTGGTGCGAAGTATTAACTCTTCAAACTAGATAATACGAGCAGCTTCCTAACACCTAATTTGTTAGTTGACTCAGTGGCTGCCTAGTCAAGTGGTTCAGGATTTCTTTATTCTTTGAGTCAAGCCCTGGTCCAGGAATGGAAACCTGAGTTGTCCAACACAGCTGAATCCAGAACTTCATATTCTCACCTTCTTCTTACTAATAATTTGTTTTCAATCTGAACAGTAATGGTGGATACCCCAGATAACTAATACTGCTCAGATCCTCATCTCCTAAGGGGCCCTGGTCATTGAGAGGAGTTGACTGAACCTTGTTCTCAGGCAAAAGATCCCTTCCATCTCTCGAGCCCACTTGGAGGCTAATGAAGCTGTGGGAACCCACCTTACAGCTTCCTGAAAGAAGTAAGAAGACAGCTGGATGGGTTTTCTTCTTCTCTTCTAGGGAAAAGCTAGTGACCGTGAAGAACAGCTACCTCTACCATGACCATCAGGTGGGAGACACAGATGTCTTCTCCAGGGAGCCCTTTGTGGTCTGGTTCCAGACATACCACACTGGTGAGACCCACACACCCTTCTTGCCCACGATCTCCCCAGTGACCCCACGAATGGGCAACAGCCCTGAGTGTGAGCTGCAGTCCTAGGGTTTATGCAGCATCTTTAGGGAGCCTGATGGAGAAGACCATTAAGAACTGCTGAGACCTGAATGTAGAGAATGAAGTATAGTTTGATGGTACCAGGCTGGCTTCTCAGAATGCCATGACTCGAGACCTCCCTAGCCTGGAGCCCACTTCTGGAATCAATGATAACTCCACTGTCTTTGGAGCATTATGCTGATAGGAATTATTTACCATAATTCCTCAGTCCCAATCAAATACTATTCCTTCATTAAAAAAAATCCCAGTGATGGCCAGCAAAGATGAACCCCCCTACCTAGGGTCTCACTCTTTTCAGTAACTACATAGAAGTCCCCTCCACAGACTGGGGGTAAAGAGGAAATCCAAATGATTGCACCCCGAATTCTAACAATAGTACTTGTATTAGCCACTAACAATTCTTGACCACTGATTAGTGCCAGGCTCCTATACCTTGCAATGACCCTACGACATAGGAACTAGGATTGTCTCCACTTCCAATTTGAGGGAACCGGGGTTAAAAAAGGTGGGGTCACTGGTCCCAGGTCACCCAAAGCTATCGAAGTGGACGAGCCAGGACTGTAACCTAGCCGTCAGCTCAGGAGCGTGTGCTCTCGACCGCTGTGCGACGTTCGATGGGAAGCCAAGAACGCACTTGGTTCACCATTTGGAGCTGGAAAGAGGCGAATATTTTTTTAGTACCTGCCATGTTCCAGCCTCTGTCCTGGGCACTGGGCAGACACACCAGGTCCCTGCTCTCATGAAGTGATATTTTAGTAGGGGAGACAGATAATGACCAAACAAATATCCACAGAGCTCTAAGTGTATACACCTGTAACTACAAACAGAGACACCCTGAGCCAGCTCTGCCGAGCCAGGGCCCTCCGAGGCAGAGCGCTGACAAACAGGCGAAGGGGGCGGGAATCCCCGTAGGAAAAGAGAAGGAGGTGGGGATTACTGAGGGCAGGAAGAGCCCTCAGAGGGCACAGGCAACAATCGTCGTCTGGCACACGATTCAGGGCGGGGCGGTGTTCAGAGGCCCACACCCCCTTACTGATGATTTTTGTCCTGGCGAGTCCTTCGCCTTAGTGGATTGCTGACAACCGTTTGTACTGGGCTCCCACGCTTCCGCTCTTCTCCACCCCTTTCTGCCTCCCTGGGTGGCACCTCAACCATGTCCTGTTTAGTTTTCACTCTTGTTCAAGGAAAGCTCCTTATGTCTTCTCTATCTGGGATTAAAGATGAAGGAGTTAGTTCTTCATATATCTTTTCATTCATTCAGTCAGTAATTCATTCATTCATTCGTTCAGTCAGTCAGTCAACAAACATTCTGGGCACTTCCAATGGGCCAGGCACCGTGCGAGATACTAGAGCCAAGAGGGTGAATGGGGCAGGTAAGCCTGCCTTCAAGGCGCTGGGTTCCCGTGGGCCAAACACAGAGGTAAAGCAAGTAAGTCAGAGCCTGAAGGAAGGAAGCAAGATGCATTGACTAGCAGGGTGAGGGGCCCACCTTAAATGGGGAGGGGGGGACCAGGGAAGGCCCCTGAGACATGACATTAGGCTGTGACCTGAGGAAGTCAAGTCAGGGAGGACTCGAGGAAGGGCATTGTAGGGGGAGGGCAAAGTGAGCACACAAGTCCAGAGGTGAGAAGGGGTTAGGGTCTGCAGGGGGACCAAAAAGAGGATGGGAGTGCAGTGGAGGGGTGAGGAGGAGCGCGTGAGATGAGGCTGCTGGTCCGGTCCTGGAGACGGGCAGCCAGGTCTGAGTCCTGGCTCCCCCCGTGTGACCACCCAGCAGCACCCAGCTCCTGAGTAGGAGTGGGGACCCAGGCACAGATGAGGGGAAGCCTGAGGACGAGGGGTTCAGATCACAGCAGCTGCTGTTAGCAAGTGGGCAGGGCACAGTCCACGGCTCACCCTCATCTCCTCGCTCTCAAGCCTCCTGGTAGGGGCAGGATTTTAGACACGCCATAAAAATCTGCTTTATTTTTTAAATAACTTTTGGGCTTTTTTCCTGATTACAAACGAAGTACAAACTGACATGCTTCCATTTTTTTCATTAGAAAAAATATTTCCTTAGTACAAAAGCCAAACAGATTCATTACTTTTAAAAAGTAGAAAGTGCAGAATTTCAAAAAACTGAGAAAATAGAAACACCCACAATGCCAGCAAGGAACACTGTCTGCCAGCCCTTCCTTGGCCGTGAAGGGCGAGTGGGAGAAAAGAGGCTTCGTGTGCCGAAAATAGTTGCCTCATGATCCTAAAACCATCCAAGTCTCAGCCACTGGCTGGACCCTCAGGAAATGGGGAGCCTCGAGGACGCAGCCCATGCCTTCTGGAAGGACAGCCCATTTCCCTCGAGCAGTGTTCCTGAACGCCGCCAGGGGACCTGTGTGACCTCTGCCTCTTTCCTGCTCCCCAGCTGTCAAGGACTTCGTGATCGTGCCCCTGCACACCACCCCCGAGACCTCCATCAAAGAGATTGATGAGCTGGCCGACGTCTACGTGGATGTGAAACGCCGCTGGAAGACCCAGGTGACCACCCCCCGTCTGTTGAAGGCCCATCTAGCAGGGGCAGAGTCTGGTCTTTGAGAAGTATGAGTGACTCCCGGGAGGGTGAAGGGACAGAGCATGTGCAGACCACTGCCACTTTCCAGACTCGTTTTAGGCTTTTCCTCAGCCTGAGATAGCCTTCTTGCTAAGTCTGCCCGGGCCCATCCGTGTGGGTGGAGGGAGTTCACACCCTGCTGCACTGACAGCGGCTGCCGAAGGTCCCTGAGGATAGCGAGTGCCGGGCACTGGGCCGAGGCTGAGCGCCGCCAGTTTATTAAATCCCCCAGGAATCCTGCGAGGCAGCTTTTATCATCCTCACTTTGCAAGTGAGAACAGTGACGCACGGAGGGCAGGGGTCTTTCAAACACGAGTGACAGAATTTCAAAGTGGCTCAGGGAAAGGAGAAGCCGTTGACTGGTGCTCGGAACTAAAATGTCCAGGAGCAGTTCGGGCAGAGCTGATCCGGGGCTCAGGCAGAGCAGTCCGGGCTTGGCTTGCTTCTTCCCACCCCTTGGCCTCCTTTCCTCTGGGTGGGCTCCATTTGCAGGCCGGCTCTACCCTCAGAATGTTGTGCAAGATGGTCATCGACAGCCTCTGGATCAAATGACAAACTTTCTTTCCCACAGTGCAACAGATGGCCAGGGATTGGGTCTTACTGGCTCTGAATGGGTCACATGTCCACACCTGAACCAATCACTGTGGCCAGGGGTTTGAGATGCTCTGACTGGCTAAATCTGTGTCAGCTCCACCCAGCCTCATGGACCGAGGGGAGGAGGCTGGTGGTTTCCCAAACTAGAGCCGCTGTTCTCACAGATGGGGACCACGTCTGCCATCCCTGTTTCCTCATCTGGAAAACAAGGCTGCCACCACCTGCGCTGTGTGGGTCTGTGAAGGTGCTTGGCAAAATGGATGTGCTCTAAGGGCTCTTCCACATTCTTTTCTCCTGTTGGGATGCGACTCCGTTGATCCCCATCCGCCTTCTCAGTTCCACTGCCGGAAGCCAAAACGAGTCGAGTGAAGTGTAGACTCAGCTGGGGCATGGAGAAACGGGCGTGTTCCAGCCTCTCGGTAGAGAGCAGGTCAAGAGAAAGGCTCGTTCATTCATTCGTAAAATTATGAATTCATTCATTCATTCAACACGAATGTATTGAGCGTCTGTTAAGGGTTGGACACTGGGGAGGCAGCCATAGCACAAAAATGAGCAAGAGGGGAACTCGTGCTGAAAAGCCTTCGGTGAAGCAGATCAGGGTTCAATTCTTGGTTTCACCACTTGAATCCCTCGGTTGGGTAGTATAGAATGGATTCTATCCTGTTTCCACTGTGGCTAAAGGTCCTTCTACCTCCTCGTGTGTTTGTGAGGTTGAAGGGAAACTTTATAAAACACTTAGTGCTGAATTTGGCACACAGTGAATGCTCAGTGAATTGTGCCTATATTAATAGAAGCTGGTAGTCACCAGGGTGAAGGATGACATCCTGTCCTCAACTGTGCCCATCAATCACAGGGAAACCATGATCACAGGTCAAAATAAAATGTTTTGGAAGAAAACTCTAAGGTCAGCAACAGCCCCAAACAATAGCACAAACAAGGAAATCTGCTACTTCCTCTGGATTAAGGAATATTAAAATTCAGCTCCAAGAATTCTGCAGGATAGAATGGTTCTGTTGCTGACCTAAGGTTCTTCCCACTTCCTCAACAGAAAGAATTTGCGCAGGAATAAATGTCCAACTTCAAGACAATAAGAGAGAGAGAGAGAGAGAGAGAGAGAGAGAGAGAGAGAGAGAGAGAGCCGTGCCAAAGCTGTTGAATACACCTCCCAAATTCATTTTTCCTGCTTGGAAACAAAAAGCGTTGGTTCATTCATATGTTTGAGCCAGAGACAAAAACTGTGAGGGAATAAATTAGGGGGCTTCTTTTATCCCTACCTAACTCTGCTGAATTGCAGAGACATGGTGAGTAAGAACAGGAGGGAGCAGCTACAGCAAACACTCCCTACATACATACCCACCTGTCAAATAGTCATCAGAACTGTGACTCAACTTTATTTCTTTATCTTTAATGACAAATCATTATTTGTGATGTCACATAGTTTCGTGTAGCTCAGGGATCTGGGAGCAGGCTGGCTAAGTGAATCTAGCTGGTGCTTTCTCATGAGGCTGCACAGTCAGACATCAGCTGGGGTTTCTGTCTCTGAAGGCTGCATTGCGGCTGGACGATTCGCTTCCAAACTGGCTCCTTTGCATGGTTGGCAGATCTCTCCCTGTGGGTCTCTCCATGCAGATTGGGCTTCCGCACATAATGGTGTCTGGATTCCAAAGATGTACACCCTGCAAATCCTCTGGGTGTGGGGTGTGGGGGGTGCCCTTCCCACATGATTTTCCCCTCTGCTTCTGGGAGCAGCTCTCTCCCGCCTCCCTCTGGAGTCACAGTCCCACTCTATGACTCAATTTTAAACCACAGCCTCCTCTTTTAGAAAAGCAAAAAGAAATACCCTGGCCTGTTTGGCTCAGCAGTTAGAGCATCATCCCCCTGACCAAAAGTTGTGGGTTCAACTCTCACAAAATCAAAGGCACGTACCTCAGTTGTAGTTTTGATCCCCAGCCTTGGTTAGGGTCTTAAAGGAGGCAACCAATCGATGTGTCTCGCTAACATCGATGTTTCTCTCGCTCTCTCTTTTCCTTCCTCTCTCCCACTCTATCTAAAGAAAAAGCAATAAAAAAATATCCTCAGGTGAGGATAAAAAAAGAAATTAAGGAAGACCCTATATTAGTTTGCTAGGGCTGCTATAGCAAAGTACCAAAGACTGAGTGGGTCAAACAACACACATTAATCTCCTCACAGTCCTGGAGGTTGGACGATCAAGATCAAGAGGTCAGCAGAGTTGGCTTCTCCTGAGGCCTCTCTCCTTGGTCTTCTCTCTGTGTCTCTCTGTGACCTAATCTTCTCATTTATTTTCTAATTTTTTAATATTTATTTTTTAGAGAGAGAAGAAGGAAGGGAGAGATAGAAACATCGATGTGAGAGAGAAACATCAATCAGCTGCCTCCTGCACACCCCACACTGGGGGTTGAACCTGAAACCCGGGCGTGTGCCCTGACCAGGAATCGAACCAGGGACTCTCAGTCCATGGGACGACACTCAATCCATTGAGCCACACCAGCGGGATCTAATCTTCTCTTTTTATGAGGACACCAGTCATACTGGATTAGGGTCCACCCATTTAATCTCATTTTATCTTAATTACCTCTTTAAAGATCCTCACCCCAAATACAGTCACATTCTAAGGTCCTGGGGTTAGTACTTCACATATGAATTTGGGAGAGACACAATTTAGCCCATAACAGAACCCATTATTTCCTGGGCATGGGAGATGGAGTCATTGCTAGCAGTTATGAGTGAAAGAGTTCGGCAACGGTGCCCATCAGGTGACTGGCTCTGAATCATGTCTTTCAGAATTTCATTTTCATGGGCGACTTCAATGCTGACTGCAGCTATGTCCCCAAGAAGGCCTGGAATAACATCCGCCTGAGGACCGACAGCAAGTTCATTTGGCTGATTGGGGACGAAGAGGACACCACTGTCAAGATGAGCACCAACTGTGCATATGACAGGTGGGAGGCATCGGCTGGTGGTCTGCTGGATGCTGCTAGCCCATACAGTGCTTAGTAGGCTTTAGAAAAGGCGCCCCCTCTGGTCAGAGGAGGCAATGGTCTTGGAGAGCGGAATCCGACTGCAGGCCTCTCGGCCTAGTGCTTTGTGCAGTATATGAATTGCGTGAACTGGGCACCGTAGTCAGCAGTGGCAAGCATGGGCTTTGGTGTCAGGCAGGCCTGGGTTTGAATCCTCACTCTCCCGTTTAATATCCTGTGACTAAGAGACATGTGCTTTGTTTTCTCACCTATAAAATGGAGCTTATAGTAGTGCCTCACCACGGACATATGATGAGAATTAAGTGAAGTAACATACGTAAATCGTGTGACACAATGCCTGCCATATGACAGGCATTCAGTACATTCGTTGTTGTTAATTATTCCATCACAAAGACATGCCACAGCTTACTCATTCAATCCTCTATCATTAAGCATTAGGATTGGGCATTAGGTTATCGTATTATTAAGGATTAATTATTTAAACATTCTGATTCTATATATTCATTTTATGCATATATTTATGATTGCTTTAAGATAAAACTCTAAAAAAAAAAAAGAACAAGCTCAGTTAGAGCAAGGGTATGTACACTTCTAAAGCTTTTGCTGTGCATTCCTAGATGCAAATGCATACATTTAAATAATAGCATGAGCTTATATTTGTAAAATCTCTCTGGGAGCTTTCAGTCAGCTTCCACTTTTGCTCCTTAAATCAGAAGGAAGTGTTGAGAGTGCCTGAACCTGTGACTGTTTGTAACCTTACCATCCACAGCAGGGACCACAGGCAGGGAATCCCCTAGGAGCCCTGGTCCCGCGGTGGTTTTAGTTCCCAGGGCTCAGCCTGCGACGGAGAAAGCATGCGATGGCCATCTGCAGACGACCGTTGTCCTTACTTCTCTAGTTTTGAGGTCTGGCTTTCATTTTCATCCCATGACCTCCTTTGTTCCTCCTGGAGCTTCCAGGGCTGGTGGGTCCGTTGCAGAAGTCATCACTCCAGCTCTCGAAAGTGGAAGCAGCCCTAGCCCTGGGGAAAGCAGAGTCAGGTGGGAAGTTCCAGGAGACAGCGCTCCCTGCACCTCCCTCCGTTCTGAGGGGCTGCCAGCCAAGTGCACGCCAGTTGTGTGGCCTTGGCAAGGTCAAGTCCCTCCTGTGGCCCCATTCTTCTCCCCTGGCAAACGAGGGCGAGGTGACCGGAAATATCAAAGCAGAAGAACAGTGAATCACAGGGAAAGATGTTCACAATAGATTAGGTGGAGGAACAGCTTAAAAAAGGTGTTTCCTAAAACCCCAGTGTTACACACTTTATGTCAAAGGACAGCAGGATGACATGTGATTTTTTTCTTTTTCATTGAATTTATTGGGGTGACACTGGTTAATAAAGTTATACAGGTTTCAGGTGCACAATTCTACAACACACCATCTCCATACTGTATTGTGCGTTCACCACCCCAAGTCAAGTCTATGTTTTCCTTAACAGCATGTATTTTTTGTGGTTTTTAAAAAGGCATATCAATGTTTTTGTTTTTATGTTTGTTGTTATCTTGTAATCCTCACCCAAGGATATTTTCCCTATTGATATTTAGAGAGAGTAGGAGGGATGGAAAGGGGGGGCATCAATGTGAGAGAGACATGTCGACTGGTTGCCTCCCGCATGTCCCCCAAGCAAGGCCGAGGATCAAACCTGCAACCCAGTATGTGCCCTTGACGGGGAATCGAACCCGTAACCTTTCGGTGCAAAGGCTGATGCTCTAACCGTTGGACAACTCAGCAGGTCTATAAATGTTTAATAAAGGGAGTAAGATAAAATGGACTCAATGCCAGACTGTGTTCTGTGTTCAAATATCTCTTGAACACCTCCCATGTGCTGGGCCGGCCTCGGAGAGCTCAGCAGGGTCAGCTGGCCTCCCGTGCACATACCTAGAAGTCAGAAATGGGGAAACTCTAACTAAGTCGTTGGTGACTCTCTGGGTCCGCAAGGATAGCCTTAAGGACTCTCCAAGCTCATGTGAAGCGTTTACTAGTGGATGGAGTTCAAAGTCAGCCAGGTGATGCTGTTAGCCAAACAGGAAGCCAACAGCCGCTTGGAGCTGGGGAAGCTCAGAGGGTGGTCATGAACCGGCAGCTGGACTAGTCTTGTCATCTTTAGTCAGTCTGCTGCGGCCGTGAGGCCTCAACTGCACCGCCCCACTTGAGTGCACGTTTAGAGTCCACGTTTCCAAAACTCAGTGAACTACCATGTACCCATTTTTAGTCATCGCTACAAAGCAACTTACTGTGGTTTTCCTCCATATTTGTCTTTAAATACATTCATTTCTTACTGAAATAAATTACTTTTAAAGGAAGTGTCATAATACGAAGGTAAGAAAACGGCGTTGCCATAAGTAAAAAATAACTGTAAAACTAATCCCAGTGAAACTGAACATTGCGCACTCTGCCTCACCCCTCCTGCCTCTGGAAAGCTTGGCAGCCTGCTCTCTCTCGGTCTGGGAGCTTAGGGGGCGTTACAAACAAGCCAGCCCCTTTCTCCATCGTCAAATCAGGAAAAGTGAAAAATAATTGCAAAGGAGACAATAATCTTAGAATACAAGACACTGTTGTGTGGTGTGGTGTCCATGTATCATAGGAAGTCTCTTCCACCACCAGGGCTGCCTGCCCACACAGGGCCACAGCAGGAGCTAACCCTACTTCCCAACCTTAGGCACTGTCCTCAGGGTCACTGCTAAAACCACATCTGGACATTGAGCATCACGTGAAAGGCTGCTCGGTTTCAGGTGTCAAACATGGACCTTGGTTTGGTCTCAGAAATCAACAGGGTGGGTTAACATGACTGTCTTCCCTCCCCTTCCGCAGGATCGTGCTGAGAGGAGACGAGATCGTCAGCGCTGTTGTTCCCAAATCAAACAGCACCTTTGACTTCCAGAAAGCTTACGGGTTAACTGAAAAGGAGGTACGGCTGCCATCTTGTCTTTTTATGCCACTGTCCCGGGAGGCCACCGCTAGAGACCCATCATTGGGCCCTTGGACCTTGAGTCTCAATGCCTATGATTCTGTGATTTGAGGACCTGCCTAAATTTCTAGTTGAGCAGGTGGAGGGACGAAGCTCACCAGTGTGTGCTCTGTTGGGTAACTGGCATCTCACTTTCTCTCCTGGAGCCGGAATTTGCTTGTCACTAAAGTCAGAGTGTCTCCTAATTCTCAATGTATCTCCCTTTACCCTTACAGGCCCTGGATGTCAGTGACCACTTTCCAGTTGAATTTAAACTACAATCCTCAAAGTTCTTCACCAACAGGAAAAAAACGGTCTCTTCAAGGAGAAGGAAGGCCCGCCGCTCCTAGATGCAAGGGCCCTGTTTTACTAACCGTCCCTCGCCTCTGAATAAACAGCTCTAACAGCATCCCCGCCCCCTGCGCTCAGGCAACAAGACCGCGCCCACTCTCATGTTCACCTTGAATTGTCCCAGAGGAAACGGGGGGCTTTTGCAGTCCGAGAGGGGGGTCTTCGCATCCTGAGCCCGTCCGCTGTCAGGCGCCTCCCAGCCCTGCTTGGAGAGGCTGTGGAGGAGGAAGGACCCCCGTTTTCCGTCTTCACCAGGGGATCCTGTTCCACAGGAAATGAGCAGAAGTGCCAAGGCCCCAGGGCACCCCATGATTTGGGCAGTGAGCTGTCTGGGGAATCTGGCCCTCGTGGCTGGGGTCGGGCCACCATCCGTCCCACGGGAGTGAAGAATGAAGGCCTCTCCCACCTGATCTTCCTGCCAGCCCAGTGACCACCAGTGCCAGCCTCTGACATTCCATTCTGGCCACCGGCCGCCCTCATTCCCCTCTTGCTTATAAATCCCATCACCATCTGAAGAGCCCGGAGGTTTGGGACCCCGTGAAGGTCTCTGTGTCTGGCGTATCATCAGCCTCCCCTTGGTCCTATTGTGCACATTATGCCCCTTGGGAGACCTAGTGGATCAGAGGCCCAGCTGGCTGGCAGGGACTCAAGGATTTTATTGTATTCCTGCCACCAAAGAGTGGCAGAGGGACCCAGCAGCATGGCACCATGTTACCTGTGTCCTGCGTGGTTACCACTTTGGTGTTTTTCCTTATATTGTCTCTTTGCTCGAGCAGTGCATGAACATGACTGTGTGAGCAGCGCCAGAGAATGAGCAGTGACAAGGACGCCACACCCCGACCCCAGCCCCTCCTTCCTGTCTCAGAAGCGGCCTCTCTTCCCAGCTCCTGCGTTCTTCTGGAGTCTGTGCATAAATGAGCACCATGTGTATGTAACCTTGAAAAATACAGAGCATAATAGACTACAGGCATGGTCCCACTCTTTGCTTGTTTCCATTAATATATTAGGAATGATGTGGTTTTTTATGTAAGAAAATTGACCACAAGCTTGAGTTTTGAAATTTGGTAACATCCGAGGGAATAAAATCAAAAGACCCTGCTTAAGTGGGGAAACCATTTTCCCGAAAGTCCAACCTCAGAGGTCTTGTTAGCATAGGCAGGGGAGGGGCAGGGCTGTAAGGCTTCTGTCACCCCCTCTTCTGAGAAGGGCTGCCCCAGAAAACTTCCCGTTTCCAAGGTCCAAACCGTCAAGCAGGCCATTCACAAATGAACTTATTTTGGAGGAGAGATCATCTTTGTGCCCCAAAGGCCAGCATCGTGGCTGGGCCAAGGGTCCTGTGCTGGGTGGGGAGGCAGAGGAAGTGGTCCAGACACGGCTCTGACCTGGTTCTGCCGCCCTGCGGCGTCCTGGTGACAAGCCACCCGTCTGTCCCTGCACAGAGCAGGTTACTGGAGCCATGGCATCTGCCAGCTCTCAGGCTGGGCAAACCGCTGGGCCCGGCGGGACAGAGTGGGGCTACCCTCCCCCCCACCGCAGCCTGAAGGAGCTGCAGTCCTCCTGTCGCCCTGGGTCACCTGGCCTGGACGGAGCTCCCATGGCCCTTCGGGGGAGTGCACCGTGGTCGTAAGCACTCTTTCAGCTTTGGTTTTGTTCAGTGGGTGCACAGAACCCCAGGGGACCTCTTACCATGCTGATCCCCACCCAGCCCCCCGAGTCCGTCTCAGGAGATCTGGAAGAGCGGAGCCTGCATATTCAACAAGCTTCCGGGTGACCAAGGACCAGATTTTTCATGCATTACTTATTTATTGAGGGGCGGGTTTTGAACTCACCCTCCTGGCCCTCCTTAGTGAGAAGAGGTGTAGCCTGGCGCAGGGGACAGGCTCCCTGGGAGCCCTGCTGGCTGTGGGACATTGAGCAGGTCCCTCGCCTTCAGTGCTCTTATGTGTAAAATGGGGGTAACAAGAGAATCAGCCTCGTGGGTGAAATCGAACAGCACAGTGCATGTAAAATGCCACGTGCCCGGCACCTAGGGGCCCTCCACAGTGGAGGCTGTGTTTTGGGAACAGGACTTGCCCCATCGAAGGGCAGGCCTGGAAGTGCTCCGATGCACGTGGTTCTCATCTCACTAGTTGGTGAATTTCTGCCATCGCTTCTCTGTTGTTTCCCGCAGCAAGTGTTTTGGCCAGTGAGCCTTGAGGAATGGAGACGCCCCTCCTTCCAGTCCTTGGTATTTTCTCTTTCTCCTCAACACCCCTTTCCTGCCTCAAACACAGAAATACACCCCCCTTCATCCTGTCCGTGGAGGGTGGGGTGAAGGGAGCATCTCCAAGTCAGCCGCCCTGGCTCCCGTCCCTCCTTGGGTTGGGGAAGGAAGTATAAAGGGCCGGTCCAAACCGGGAGAGGAAAGAGTGACAAACTGGAGATCAGCCGGGGCGGCGTGGCTCAGTGGCTGAGCGTCAACCCATCACCAAGAGGTCACCGGTTCGATTCCCGGTCAGGGCACATGCCCAGGTTGTGGACCACATCCCCAGTGGGGGGCATGCAGGAGGCAGCCAATCAATGTTTTCTCATTGATGTTTCTATCTCTCCCTCTCCCTTCCTCTCTCTCTAAAATCAATAAATAAAAAATAAAAATAAATACAAATTTAAAAAAACAACTGAAGGCCAGGTGCAGTGCGGGAGAGCAGGGCCACTGACCGGGGTTCACATCTGCCTCGCTGCCGCTTGTCCCCATCAGAGCTTCTACCCCGATGGCCCTGAAGGCAGAGGTCATACGAGCCAGCAGACCCATGTGTCCTACCCACAGGCCACATCTTGAAGGAGGAGTGGGTAACCCTGGGCCACAGGACCCTGCCCCAGTAGCTCCAAGCTTTAGGATTCAGAGAAGCTACTGAAATTAGGTAAAACTTGGGCAATTTCAAGGAAAAAGGATGTGTACATGTGCCTGTGTACATACGCGTACACACACACACACTCGGTTCTTCAGAGAAAATGGACTGGGAACCAGGGAGTGCCCTGGATGGAACGCTAGCAGAACGACTGCTCAGGTCCCCAGGACTCCATGTCGGCAGACAAAGCTGTCGGCAGACAGGCTTCACAGGGCAAGGGCAAGGGGCTGCTCCGTCCGAGTCACAGTCCTGCCGACTGGGATCAGCGGCTTCCTCACGAGTCCCACCACTTCCACCGAGTCCCACCACCTCCACCGTTGTCCCCTCTAATCTGTTTTCCCAACACACAGGGTGTGCTTCCTCAAATGCAGATTTCATCCTATCTCCCCCTACCTAAAACCCTCAACGGCTCTCCCGTTTCTCTCTGTTTAAAGACCCAAGTCCTTACCATAATCTGCAAAGCCCTGCATTTCTTGGCTTTCACTCACCTCTCCAACTCCACTTCCAACCGTCTGGATACTGTAGCCACGCTGTTAGTTCCTCCGTGCTTCATGCTTCCCCAGCCTCTGGGCCTTTTCATGTGCTGTTCCCCTTCCCGATCACTCTTCTCCCCATTCACTTCTCATTCCTCAAGACTCAGCTTACACCTCGCTCAGGCAGGGAGCCTTCTCCGGCCAGCTCCCCACAATCTATTTCGGGTCCCTCGGTTACATCGTCCCATGCTGCCCTGTATGGCTCCTTCTTCCCCCTCATTACATGTATAATTACTTGTCCAATGTCTGTTCCCCGTCCCCAGCTGATAACCCTATGAGGGCAGAGCTTGTTAGTCACGGCTCAATACTTTTTTGTGGAATTCATCAAACTCGGGGCACTGCAGCGCCAAGTTGGAATAAAAGACAATAGCCTTTACCAAGAACCAATGTTGGCAAACGGCTAATGCCTGGTTTTGAAAAAAAAATTTAATTAAGCACAAAAGGGAAAGGTCTCTTTTTTTTTTTTTTTTTTTATCCTCGCCCGAGGACATTTTTCCATTTTTTGTTCAGATAGAGCGGGGGGGGGGGGGGGGGGGACATCGACGTGAAGGGACACATCGAGTGGCTGCCACCCGCACGACCAACCAGGGCCGGGGACAAACTGCAACCGAAGTACGTGCCCTTAGCGGGAACCGAACCCGGGTCTCTCCGGACCGCAGGCCGACGCTCTAACCGCTGAGCCAAACTGGCCAGGGTGGGAAAGGTCTCTTGAAGTCGGGTCACTTAATGATCATACAGTCATGTGTAAGTTTGTTTTATTCGTGTGAGATGCCTTCCTGCGCGCTGTTAGCCGTGTACGCACCATGCTGGGTACAGTGTGGGAGGCTGATGTGTTAACACGTACAGCCAGACCTGAGAGCTGTTAATGGTGCGAAATTCTCATGTTTATTAAAAAAAAGGACAATAAGAACCAAATGTGGCCTTGTGCACATTTTGGCAGCTGCAATTCTTTAAGGCTATTGATGGGGACCCCTTAATCAGTGGTTCTCAGCCTTCCTAATGCCGCGACCCTTTAATACAGTTCCTTAGCCCTGGCCAGTTTGGCTCAGCGGTTAGAGCGTCGGCCTGCGGTCTAGAGAGACCCGGGTTCGGTTCCTGCTAAGGGCACGTACTTCGGTTGCAGTTTGTCCCCGGCCCTGGTTGGTCTTGCGGGTGGCAGCCACTCGATGTGTCCCTTCACGTCGATGTTTCTGTCTGTCTCTCCCTTCCTCTCTCTCCCTCCCACTCTATCTGTACAAAAAATGGAAAAATATCCTAGGGTGAGGATAAAAAAAAAAAAAAAAAAAATACAGTTCCTCATGTTGTGGAACCATAAATTATTTTTGTTGCTACTTTATAACTGTAATTTTGCTGCTGTTATGTCTTAGGTGACCCCTGTGAAAGGGTCGTTCGACCCCCAAAGGGGTTGCGACCCACAGGTTGAGAACTGCTGCCTCAAATCATTCTTGTCTTTGATTATTGAGTATAGGGAAAGGCTTCTCCTTCCACAATGTTTTTTTTTGTGGGGGGTTATTTGCAAAACTATTCATGTTGACATTACAGGAATCTTGCTAGGGCTTCTCTACCACAGACATTAATACCCGAGCAACAGCCACATGTATTGATTGTACCCACTCACCAGTGACAATGACATTGGACGCAGCTGGCTTATTTCCGTCACTACATTTTTTTGAGCTGCTGTTTGTTTTCAGAGGTACCAGGGGTACATTTTTGCACCGAAGTCTACTGATGTTTTAAAAACACTTTCCACAAAGATAGTCCTCTGTCATTACATTATTTACTCACATGTTTGTGCATTTTTGTATGTTAATTTATGAATAATTTTTAGTAAAAAAATACATAGTCAAGAAAAAAATTAAAAAGACAATAGCCTTTCCAGAGTTTTCCTCTTTTATAAAATATAAGGAAAATATTTGAGTAAAAGGTAGCAGATATTGGGTAGTAAATTGTTGTCGTTTTTCATGTAGAAATCCAGGTGGAAACACCTCATTTAAAAAGTTAGGCAGCGTGCCTGGCAGTTTGGCTCAGCTCTTAGAGCATCGGCCCTCAAACCAAAAGATGGTGGGTTCAATTCCTGGTCAAGGACACATACCTAGGTTGCAGGTTCAATCCCTGGCCCTGGTCGGGGTTGTGTGAGAGGCAACCAATTGATGTGTCTCGCTCACATCTCTCTCTTTCGCTCTCCATACATCCCTTCCAATCTATCTAAAAAAAAAAAAAACCAATGGAAAAATATCCTCAGGTGAGGACTGACAAAAAAAATTTTTTTTAAGTAAGGGAGTGATTTTTGAGGGCGTAAATTCAGAATTAAAAAATTAACCATGCCCTCTAGTGTATTAAAGTTTCTCAAAGAATATTTGAAGGCTATAAAATGGGATGTCAACAGGACAGAAGAACTAAAACCTTAAATCCACCTAAGGTAAACTTCACTGTGGTTCCTTGAACTTGCCCTCTACCCTCGTGCCTCGGGCCTTTGCACATGCTGTTCCCTCTTCACCCCTCTTCCCTGTGAGCACACTGTCTCTCTCTCCGTGGCTCCAAGGCTTTAAGGCTTTCATGGCCTTCAAAACCCCATGGAAACCTTCCTTCGCTAAGACAAATGCCACACGCACACCTTTCCCAAGGGCCTGTCCCGCCGGTACATATTGCCCAGGTGACCCAGGTTCTGGCTTGGAGCAAACCCATGTTCCTCCCTCTATGAGTTCCCTGGTGGCAGGAGAAAATATGTCAGTCATTTGCAAAAACTCCTGCTGACCACCTCTTCTCCAAGAAACACTATTTCCCCTCTCAAATACCCTGGAAGCTTCACTTAATTTTTCTGACATATATTTTTCAGATTCCTGCTTGTTTGAGATATTTGAATAGTTTCATAGAGGCTAGAGCTGAAAATATCTTTAAATATAGTAATAATAATAATTAATAATAATAAATAATGATGATAATAATTGCCATTTGCCAGGGCGTGCAGCTCTGTGCCAGGCTGTGACCTAAGAAGGCATGGTATACGCTAGCTTACTAAATTCCAACCACAGCACTAAAACAGCGGGGTCTATTGTCATCTCAGTTATATAGATGAGGAAACTGAGGCCCAGAGAAGTTAAATAACTTGCCCATGGCCACAGCTGGTGGGTGGAGCTTAGGGCGACTCTTCATGAGGTATAGTGGGCATAGGGTCTAGGGCTCAGAAGGAAACAACTAAAATTTTAGGTTGAAGAAAAATGTAATGTATAGTACTAATATATTTTTCTTTATATCAATGCAGTAGTAAAATTTGATTCATATATATATATATTTTAATGTAAGAAGGGACTCATGAAGGCAAAAGTGCCTAAGGCCCACAAAAATCATAATGTGGTCCTGGAGGAGTCAGATGTCAAATCAGGTCAGTCCGCCTCCAAAGTCACGTTGTCACTAGTCTAGTATGACCCCCTTTACACTGAGGAAATTGAAGCCCAAGGCTACCCAGCAAACAGAGGACAGAGCCCGGTGGAGAATGCAGGTTTCTCCAGGCCGAACCGTACTCTGTAGTCGGACAGCACCACCTGGTGGTACTTTGGGTAACTTCCCTTTAGTCAAAGAAACCTAGAAAGGGCGCAGGTTCAAACACCCCCAGAAGCAGCTGCCAGCCAGTCTGCCTTCAGGCTCCATTCTCAGCAGTGGGGAAGCCCAGCAAAGGAGCCAACTCCACATATCACTCCACACACACACACACACACACACACACACACACACACACACACACCCCTCCCAGGGTAACTAAGTTATCCCTCAGAGCCTCAGAGTTAGTATTTACAAAGTGCTTAGATCCTGATAGGAATATCACATGAGCCAATTGGTAATTTGAAATTTTCTAGTAGTCGTATTAAAATAACAAAAACAGCCCTGGCCGGTTTGGCTCAGCGGTCAGAGCGTCGGCCTGCGGACTGGAGAGTCCCAGGTCCCGCTAAGGGCATGTGCCTCGGTTGAAGTTTGTCCACACCCTATCACATCGATGTTTCTCTCTCTTCCTCCCTCTCTCCCCCCTGCTCTATCTGAAAATAAATGCAAAAAATGTCCTCAGGTGAGGACAAAAAAAAAAGTAAAATTAATTTTAATAGTATGTTTTATTTAACCCAGGGTTCAGCACATTACAGCCTGTAGGTCAAATGCAACCCACCACCTGTTTTTAAAGGGATGTTTTATTAGAACACAGCCATGCCCATTTGTTTATAGTCTGTCCACTGCTGCTTCTACACTACAACAGCAGAATTGAGTAGTCTTGTCATTGAGACCAGATGATCCACAAAGCTGAGAAGTTACCCTGGCCAGTGTGGCTCAGTTGGTTGGAGCATCATCCCATATACCAAGGGGTCTCAGGGTTGATTCCCGGTCAGGGCATGTGTAGGAGACAACCAATCGATGTTTCTCTCTCTTCCACTCTAAAACAAATAAAAATTTTAAAAATATATTTTTTTAAAGCCGGAAATATATACTATCTAGTCCTCTATAGAGAAAGTTTGCCAATCTTTGATTTAACCCAATATATAAAAATTTGGTCATTTTAACATGTAATTCAATATAAAAACTATTAATAAGTTATTTTACTTTTTTTTAAATCCTCACCCAAGGACACTTTTTGTGTTTATCCTCAGATAGAGCAGGAGGAAGAAAGAGAGAAACATCGATGTGAGAGAGACACATCGATTGGTCACCACCCACACGACCCCAACCGGGGCAGGGGACAAACGGCAACCGAGATACATGCCCTTAGCGGAAACTGAACCCGGGACTCTCTGGTCCACAGGCCGACACTCCAACTGCTGAGCCAAACCAGCCAGGGCTATTTTACATTTTTTATTATATAAAATCTCTGAAATCTAATGTGTCTTTATTCTTAACAGCAGATCCCCATTTGTGTGAGACACATTTCATATGCTCAGTGGATGCACGAGGCTCATGACTACTGAATTGGACAGTGTACGCTTAGACAAAGACCTGCACATAGCAGTTACCATACAGGTGCTCGTTAACCACATAAATAAATAAATTGCCCAGAAGAATGGAGCCCTAACATCCTGGGACATCCATCGCTTGTCGTGAATCGGCTCTTTCCCACGCCTCCAGACTGATGTCAGCAAATAGTACCATCTTCGGGAGAATCGAGAAAATAGTCACCTTTCAGTAACTGAGAACTTAGCAGCTTTCGGAGCAGCTTGCAGACTCGCTGCTGATAGGGAGCATCATCACAATAATGATTATAATTCACATGTACAGAGCCAGGCGCTGGGGAGACATTTTCTGAGCAGTTTCATTAAATGACAGCAGCAATGGTGACCTCCCTCAGAAAGCCTCCCATGCTGGCTTGGGTGCCTCCTCTGTGCTCGAAGGTCCCAGTTCCCACCCCAGCCCTCCTCATTCCAGGCTGTGAGCTCCACAATCTTTCCCCTTCACGCCCCAGGGGCCCAGCCTGGGCCTGGCCCACTGAGCTGCTACATCAGTGTTTGTGGCTTTCGGTCAAATGACCCCAGAGGAGCCTGGGGGCGATAGGACAGCGGATCTGATCCACAGACGCGTCAGTGCCTCTGGCTCACAAGGCTGCGGTGTGAGTCCCAGCAGAATCCCACGCACTCCTTGGCCCTTGTCCACGCTCTCCACCTCTTGCTCTGTCGCAATCAGTGCCGTCCCCAAGGTTGATGAGGCAGACCCAGGAGAGTTCGCTCCATCTGCAGTTTCAAGTGGCAGAGCTGGCGTGTGACGTTCACGCTGAGAGGCGAACCAGGAGAGACCTAAAGAATTCCTCTGGGGGTGGCTCTCAGGAGGGCAGTCTGGCCAGTTCTGTGGCCAGCCCGGGGCTTTGATGGAGGGGTGCCGCCGTGCCCCGATTCAGCAAGGTGTGTCCACGAGGATTTTGGCTTCACAGAAGCTGTGTGCAGGAGGACTCTCTGGGCGCCTTGGAAGCCATGGGATGCCCTGTGCACCAACCGGCCATGTCTGGGATTCGGGGAGAGACCTTGTCCCGGGGAAAGGAGGCGGCCTTGTCAAGATGACCCCAGTAACCAAGATTTAGCTAGCAGACGGAGGTATTGTGGATTGAACTGTGTCTCCCTCAAAAAGGGTACGATGAGGTCCTACCCTCCAGTATCTCAGAAGTGACCTTATTTGGACATCGGACCATAACAGACGTGGCTGGTGGAGGTGAGGTCGTACCAGAGGAAGCAGCTCCTCCTCCAGGGTGACTGGGGTCCTCGTAAGGAGACAGCACGTGACAGCAGACACGGGAGCGCCCTGCGATGACGAGGGCAGAGGCGAGTCAGCTGTGAGCCCCGCAGGCCCAGGGCTGTGGCCGCGGGGGCCAGGGACGGCGAGGAAGGACGCCCCGGGGTGTCAGAGGAGCACGGCACCTAGACGTCCAGTTTCCGGGACCCGGAGACGGTCCATCCCCGTTGCCTTAAGTCACCCCGTCCACGGTACTTTGCTAGGCAGCCCTTGCACACGGATACGGGAGGGCACTTCTGATAAGGTGGAGGCTGAGTTCAAGTCCTCCCCAGACCAGCCACAGGACACACCAGGCACCGTGGCAGGAACGAGCTAGGTGTCGGAACTCTTTCCTGGTTACAACACTCCCGGCCTTCTCGCACCTAGAAGTCGCGTGGTCAGTGGACTGTGCCCGGAAGCGACGTTTGTCAGCTCCACACCACGGCGGTTAAGCGTGGGCACATCCTTTCCAGCTCTTTGTCTCTCCTCCCCTGCCCCCAGCTGGATGTAGGGGACTCAGGGAAGGACTCTGAGGTCCGAGGACATGGCAGAGCCACCAGGTGGGAGAAGCCTGGACCCCGGACCAGCGTGTGGCAGGTGGCCCGCAGAACATTAGACTGCACTGGCTATAAGAAATCTATCTTTATTGGCTCAAGCAGCTGGCAGTTAGGGGCTGTTTGCTACAGCAGTGAGCAGCCCTGAGCCATGCAGGGTCTGGGGACGAGAGAGGCAGGAAGTGAACATGGAAACGACCTAAACTGTGAGACACACTGGGGCTGAGCAAGCCTGCTGCGGGTCCCTTCAACAGAATGTACAGAGCGAGGACGGGGACACATTCCCATCCCCTTAGCACCTAGAGACTCAGCGAGCCGGTCCTGCCCCGGGTCTGCAGCTGGGGCACGGGGCGCCGATTCCCCAGCAGAGCGGCGCGGGCTGCGGCTGGTGGGGCGGGAGCTCTGTGAGGAGCTGAGGTCGCCCCGAGCCCCGGGGTGGCACTCGTGCCCACGGGGTTCAGCGGAGGCAGAGCTGCACAGGACCGGGGGGTGGCGCTGGCAGCACCTCGCCTCTGCAGGGTCCAGATGGCCCGGGGGGAGGAAGGAGCCACTTTTGAATCCCTCGAGAGTTCACATCAGCTGGTCTGTTCGCCGTGGAAAATTGAAGACGCTACTTTTGATGTAAAAGGTTTGTATGATGGGCTGGGACCTGGCATACTCTGAAAGCTTGGTGTCCTTCACGGCATCCCCTGGAACACAGCAAAGCCAGGTTGAGCTGGGGCCCCTCTCCAGCCAGGCCTCACCCAACGCGAAGGGCTGAGGGTCGTCAGGCACCTGCTTCTCCAGCCGCTCCAGTGTTAAAACAGAGCGGTCCTCTGTACAGCTGGGAAGAGCCGCTGCCCCGTTTGCCCCGTCACCTCTAGGTTAGGACCCCCATTCCTTCCTAGGGTCCAATAACTAACGGGCATGCCTGGCATCGCATGAGAGCCTTAAGACCCTGCTTTGGTTCAAGTGCCAGGCTGTGCCCTGACGGATGGCACACAGGCCATTCCAGTTGTGAACTGTTTTAACCCAATCCCTACCCCAAGCTCACTTAGCCTCATCACATTGCTCCCCCAGTGCAGTGACACCTCACCCACCCCAGTGCTCCAGTGAGCACCGCCAGGGGCCTGCTCAAGGCTGAACTAACCCCTTCGAATGCCCACAGGTTGCAAAATCTGTCTGTTGGAACAATAATAGTAATACCAGTCACCATTTGTTGAGCACTTACTATGTGCCAGGCACTAGATTGGTGCTTTGTCTGTGTAAAGGGGCGCTTGAGGCCGACCCAGCTGGGACCCAGACAATGCCTTTAACCCCTCTTTCCCGTGGTTCTTTGCCCCGCTGGGGTGACAGCTGCTGTGTGTAACGGTGTGGGAGTTGGAGAAGTGGTCGGCAGAGGTCTGTCATCTCTTCCCCCTCTGTCCCGCACTGGTTGGGTTGCCATTAGGGTGACTGTTAGGGACAAGAAGCCAGAGCAACTGTGAGCTTAAGCAGAACCACTGCAGAGGACAGCAGTCTCCTGTCTTCCCTGAGCCCAGCACCACCCTAGGACCCAGGGGTATCCAGAATCAGCTTCCCTGGCTCCAGTGTCCAAGTTACTAGATAAAATACAGGAAGCCCAGCCCGGCCGATGTGGCTCAGTGGTTGAGCATCGACCCATGAACCAAGAGGTTGCTGGTTTGATTCCTAGTCAGGGCACATGGCCAGGTTGTGGGCCAGATTTCCAGGGGGGGCATGCAGGAGGCGGCCACTCGATGTTCTCTCTCATCCATGTTTCTCTCTCTCTCTCTCCTTCCCTTTCTCTCTAAAAATCAATAAGAGAAAAAAAGTTAATTAAAAGAAACTTTAAAAAAAAATACAGGAAGCCCAGTTACATTTGAATATCAGATAAACAAATAATTTTTCAGTATAAGTACATCCCATGCAATATATGAAGCATACCTGTACTAGAAAAAATTGTTTACCTGAAACTCAAACGGAACTGGGCATCCGATATTTTAACTTGCTCCATCTAGTGGCCCATGCCTGGCAGTGGTTTCACAAGCAAAGGGCAGGGACCACAGGCTGGGCGGAGGAAGGAACAGGGACGACCCTAAAGTGAGACTCACTCGGTGGGCACAGGGTGTTGGGCTCTTCTCAGAAGAACCAGATGGAGTAGCTACAACTCAGGACACTGTTCAAATGTCCCCTCCCCCGCGGGCCTTCCCTGGCCACTCGGCCCCCATAGCAGCCCCTCAGTCTCCATCTTTTCTTGATTTCTCTCTTTGTATAGCCTTGACTCTCAAGCATGGTCCACGGACCAGGAGCATCAGTGTCCTTGGGGAGCTTGTTAGAAATGCAGAATCTTGCCCTGGCTGGTTTGGCTCAGCGGTTAGAGCATCGTTGGCTGCGGACCAGAGAGACCCGGGTTCGTTCCCACTAAGGGCACGTATTTTGGTTGCAGTTTGTCCCCGGCCCCGATTGGGGTTGTGTGGGTGGCAGCTAGTTGATGTGTCTCTCACATCGATCTTTCTCTCTCTTCCTCCTCCTCTTCCTCCCACTCTATCTAAAGATAAATGCAAAAATGTCCTCAGGTAAGGATAAAAAAAGAATTAGAGAAATGCAGAATCTTGGTTCATCCAGACTTCACTTGCTGGATGGGAACATACATTTTAACAAGATTCCCAGGCGGTTGCTGTGTGCGGCAAGGATCGAAAGCTCTGCTCCGCAGTACAGACACTGCGTCACACATCTGCTTGCTTGCTGCCAGCCCTCTGTGAGGGACCCTGCCTGTCGTGTTCCCTGCAGTGCCCCAGGGACAAAAAGTGCCTGACACAGATCAGGTGCTCAATAAACATCCCTTGAGTGAATGAATGGCCAAACCAGAATTCAAACTCAGGCCTTCTAATGTCAAACTAAGTCACTCTTCTGAACTTGCTCATCCACAGACTCATTTGGGGGCAGAGTTGGGGTTCCAAATGAAAGGATCCCATGTTGAGTGAATGGGTGTCTGTCCTACCCACCTCATGGGGCTTTTGTGAGGATAATTCCTGTTCAAGGTGCTTTTGCACCTGATTTCCCCAAAACTTTGTGACATAGGAAGGCAGATGCTAATTTATTCCCATTTTTCAGATGTGGAAACTGAGGCCCAGGGAAGCGAAGTTTCTTGTGGAGCTCACACAACTTGGAAATGGTGTAGCCGGGACTTGAACTCACACTTCCTGAATCCAAACTGAGGCCCTAGTCCATATTCATTCATTTGATCATTCATTCCACAGTCATTGAGCACCAGCCCCAAGCCGGGAGCTGAGAGGACATTAAGAAAGTTAACTAAGCCCAGCCGCTGTGGTTCAGTGGTTGAGCATCGACCCAGGCACCAAGAGGTCCCAGTTCAATTCCCGGTCAGGGCACGTGCCCAGGTTGTGGGACAAATCCTCAGTGGGGGTCATGCAGGAGGCGGCCAATCGATGTTCTCTCTCATCGATGTTTCTATCTCTTTCTCTCTCCTTTCCTCTCTCTCTAAAAGCAATAAGAAAAAAAAGGAAAGAAAGAAAGTTAACTGGGAAGTCCTGGAACCCAGAGGGCTCATCAGACTGGACGGGTACTCGAGGAACGGTGGCACGGCAGGCTCAGGGCGTCTGCAGACTTGGAGCTGCTGAAGCACAAGGCGGACTCAGCTCTGCCCGGAGGACTCTCCGGGCGTCCCAGAGGTGGTGACACATGAAGGTCAGCCAGCAGGAGGGATGGTCCAGCTAGAGACGCCAGGAAGGGCAAGGCCTGGAGGAGCGAGGGTGCCTGGCCTGCTCAGAGAGAAGTGGGCCAGGAGCACGTGCTGGTGAGTGAGGGTGATGCAGCGCGGGGCTGGGGAGGGGCCGGGCTGCCGGCAAAGGCCTGGAAGGGCGAGATGGTGGTGGCCCTTACCCAAGTGCCAGCCGTACTCCCAGGATGACACGATTGGGTACTGAAACTTCTCCTCCGGCTTCAGCCGATGCCGCTCCCGGAGGTACGAGGCCCGGCCTTGGCCATCACGGGAGATGCCTTGGAAGAGCAGCTGTAAGGTGCTTGTGCTTGGGGCCACCTGCCTCATTCCCAAGCCCTCTGGCTTGGTCTGGCCTGCTGACCCCCGAGTTGCTCTTTGGGCCTCCCTGGGCTGGGGCCCCTGGACACCCACTTTCCTGGACGGCTGATCCCAGACCTCCTTGGTCTCTGGCAGTCCAGTCCTTTTGGGGGCGCTGGTGCCAGGCCAGGACCTCACTCCCAGGGCTGAGCTGAAGGGGGCCCGCTGGAGCTGCTGCCTGGGCAGGGGCCCCTCCTGGGGGTATTTGTGGCCATAGTTGATTTTCCAGGCCACTCGGGCAGCAGCCTCCTTCCTGATGCGCTCCTGCCAGCAGGCCTGGTTCTGGGAAGTGCAGAGATCCCTCATGGCAGGGGGGGGGAGCAGGGGGAGGTTGGAAACATTCTGCCCACAGTTCTCCAGGCCTGTTGCACTGTTGGTGTCTCGTCTCCAAGGATACGTGCAGCCAATGAGAGCGGGGTTGCCAAGGTCCTGCTGGAGAGGAGGGGCTGAGGACGGGGACTTAGGGCCATTCATAGGCTGTAGGGAGACCAAGCTGGAAAGGGGGCAAAGCCACCACAACCCACCCAGGGTGCTTGGCAGGAGGCCATGTTCAGCCCCAGAGGGACTCAGGGATCAGGGGTCTGGGGTGATGCATGGGGGGGCCATAGCCTCTATTCCATTTGGCAAACTCCAGTGTACACCTACCATGCACCAGGCACCCAAGGGGGTCCAAAAGAGGCCTCGTCTCCTCCCTCAGGAAGCTCTGGACACGTGGCTGGGGGAGTTGCCATGCGATTCGGGATGCCAGCTCCTCTGACCCAGCTGTGCCACTCCATAGCTGCGCGGCCCCACGGGCACAACGGGGTGATCATGGGAAGTGCCTTTCGGATTGGGAGAGTGAGAGCACAGCTTGGGGCAGAGCCTGGCGGAGCAGCCCTCCCTCTGCCAGCGGCTGTGTGCCCAGCGCCTGCTTGTTCCCTGCTGCCGTGCTGCCCCTATGGCTGAGTCACCCCCGGTCACTGGGGCGCTCAGAGACGCCTTTCCAGGTGGGGATGGAGGCTCAGGGAGATGGTGTGCCTGCTCCAGGGCACACGGTTGTATGTGGCGGTACCTCTGGGCCAGGCCCTGAGCTGGGGTTTTACTGAGAGTCCACTTAATCCTCAGCGACTCACTGACAGCCTTCTCCCCTCACTTTCCAGATGAGGAAACAGCTCAGCAATATTAAATGGTCACTCTGGGACTGACCCCAAAACCCATGTCATGTATTACAAACACAAGACTACCACAGAGTGACCAGCACCATGAGAGGCACAGGCCAGGCAGGCAGAGGACCCACCAGCACCCCAGCAGCACCCTCTGCCTCCCTGACCAGGGCCCTCCAGGGGTGAGGACCCACAGTGCCCTGGGGCCACTCCCCTTTTCACTCTCTGCTGGGCGTGTTCTCATTTATTCACTCAACAAACATTCATTTGCTTTTGACCTTGTGCCAGGCACAGAGCCAGGTACTAAAGGTAGATGAGGAGGGACAGGGTCCACGTGCTTCCTGTCCTCAGGCTTTCACAGTCCAGAAGGAGAGATAGACTGGTAACTGGGTGGGCAGAAGAGGAGGCAGGGAATGTGGGGTGGTCAGGGAAGGCTTCCTAGAGGAGGCGCCCTTGGATTGAGCCCTGAACTACGAACATGAGTGAGCCAGGCAGGGAGAGGGAAGACTGTCACAGAGTGGAACCCCCAGTCTTAAAGGTAGGAAAGGACACAGCTGCACAGACTGTCCTCTGAGCCTCAGTCCTCTGTCCCAACTGTAAAATGAGGGCGATGAGGAAGTTTGGGAGATTTGGGCAGATTGAGAGCGAGCTGGTTAAGTGGGAAAACCTGGGTCTGTGTATCTCCTTTGGAGCACACGCAGCGGTCACTGATTAATTGTACAAACACCTTTTTAATCCAGGCTTTTAAAACCTGGCAGTAAGCATCATTCTTTCCACACCGAGGGCCTCTGTGTGCCAGGAGCTGCAAGCGAACGAAACCCACAAAATGTCTCGCCCTTGTGGAGCTTGTGCTGCCGTGCCCTTGCTCTCCCCCACTTCTGAACCTCGGGGTACTGCCTGGCATCCAGCAGGTGCCCAGACAAGGGCCCACGGTTAGTAGGGCACTTCACGTTAGCACTGCTGCAGCTGGTGGGTGGGGAAGGGTGGAGGGAAGAAAGTCAGTTGCCAGACTGAGGGGTGGCAGGACCCTGGGGCAGAGTCGGTTCATGAACTCCAGAAAGCCTCGGGGACCCAGACTGCTCCCATCCCAGGCTGGTAAATCCAGGTGCCGAGAGCACAAGAAGGCAGAGGTGGTGTCCCCCTGGTAGGGGCCTGGGTAATCATGCGCCTTCTGCCTGCAGGGGCTGCCCTTGGTGCTGCAGTTTGCGTCTGAGGTGACCCCTGGTGGTCACCATGGCGATGACAGCCAGCCAGCTGACCTCCCACCTATGAGGCAGAGAACCAGACAGAGCAGGACAGCCGACGGCCCACCAGGGGAGCAGCCTTCGGATTCCGAGTGCCCACCCTGGGCCAGACCCTGCGTGCAGCGCTGGGCTTCAGGCCCCATTTCAAAATGTAGGCTCCTGGCTTTTATCACAGCCGTGGTTGTTACTACCCGTGTGATGGCAGGCAAAGCACTTTACCTATCTGAGCTCCGGCAAACTCCCTTGTACAGTGAAGATAATCATGACGTGCCTAGCGTTCATGTTATTAATGATGACAATTTTCTTACTCTAGATTGATTAACCCATGTAAAACCCATCCAACAAGCTCTGGGAGGTGTGGGGGAGCCTGGGGGCCTGTCTCTGGCCTCTGCCTGTGCTAAGGGAACCCCGAAGTTGGGGAGCCAGGGACAGCTGGGGTGTGAGCTGGGGTTTTCCAGAGCCCTGACCCAACTAGCTCCCCTCCCACCTTTCTGGCCACTCCTCCGGGCCACCAACAGCCCTTGTTCGGCTGTTCTGCCAACGTCCCCCCAGGCATCCCACCGTGAGGCCCCACCCAATCTGAGGCCCGGGGCTCTGTCCAGAGCTCTCTAGCACTCAGTCTTCACTGTCCTTCAGAGTCCCTCCTGGGTCTAAGCTCTCGTGCAGGGGGTCATTGTGGGCACCTTGCATGCGTAGTGGTGATTCTGTGAACCCTGACTGTGTATTGGGGTGCTGCCTGGCATCCCCAGATCTGCCAGAGGCCCTGACTGGGCCAGGATTCGGATCTCCTGGCCCGTCCTTGGAACCACCGAGCTAAACAGCTTCCCTCCAAGCCCCTCCCTTCGTGGAGGTACCTTCCACTCTGCCTTGGGGAGCTTAGTCTCCCCAGCACGAAGGCAGACCTCTCCCAGCAGCTCTGGGTGGAGAATGGTTTGCCCAACCAGTTGGGGGACAGTTATGTTGTAGGACTTTTCTAGAGGTTAATCTTAGACTACAAGTTTCCCATTATTTTCCCATTTTATGGATGAGGGTACCGAGGCACAGGGAGGGTAACTCTGAGGTGCTCGAAGTGGCGGCAGAGCTTGGCTGGGATCCAGACGTGAACCTGCAGCATTCAGCCCAGTGCCGTCTGAGGCTGCTCACACCGGGTCATTCTGCTGCTGCTTACAGCTGGGCCCGAAGCTGGCATTTCCGGGGCTTGGCGCCTCTGCCAAGGTTTCCTGCTCTGAGGTCACCCACCAGCACCCAGCATCAGCTTTGCCCTAGGAAAGGCCAACAGGGGGAGGCGTCCTGGTACCTTGGGAAGGGGTGGTCGGGCAGGGGTGAGTGAGGGCAACGAAAGGCCCGCAGATTCTTTCATCTCTGAGCTTTGTCCTGGGAGATAAGCAAGTCCGCGCGAAACACCCTGGATGTGAGCCACATGAGTCAGGCTCGTAAATTCCCCGTCTCCGATCTGCCTGCGAGCGCTCTTGAGGAAAAGGGGTGTGGGGTGGGCCACCCTAAATTCCTTGCACATGCGCTGGTCCCCTGTGGGCTCAGGCCCCCAGACAAAAGCCTTATCACAAAGCAGAAAGGATCCCTTTGTTTAAAAAGACTCCTCCTACCATGTGTTTGGGCAGCATCCTTAGCACAAAGCCAGAGGGAAAAAATCAAATTCAAGCTTGCCTTGAGTGATGTGACATTTTTACTCCCTCTTAGTAGTTATGCTATAGTGAGGAGGAAAAAAAAAAGCTAAACAAGCTGTGTTCTGGACGAGTTTTCATCAGCGGACTCCTGATTACAAAGCCCCTTCCCTCCAAGCTAATGGAGACTTGGACACGGTCCACCCTCTCCCCAGATCCTGCTGCATCCGGCCCAGCATGAAGGCCAAGGGGCACTGAAATTAACAATCTTGTTCCCCATTTCAAAATACAAACTTGGGGGGTTGACAAGGACTGAGCACTCGTTTTTGCCATTAACCTTTATTTTGCTAATTTTTCAGGCTGTGCAATTTTCAAGGGAAATTAAATCCTTATGTGCCTGATTCCTTTTATACCAAACTCATCAAAATGTGGCTTTCAAGGCCCCTTTGAAGTCTTAAGACTGGACATGTGGTCAAGGGCCCAAGTATTTATAAGTGCATTGGAAACAGACATGTTAATTAGAGGTTTCCTTCTTGGCAGCACTGCCCGTGCGCTCTTTCCTGGGTTTCAGAAGGAAAGCTGATGAGGACGAGGCAGGCGTCTGGGCTTGAAGGGGGCAGGGCTTCCCCTGGGCTGAGGATCTGCAGGGCAGCTGGCATCTGCCTAACCTTCCACTGAACAGTGACGGCCCAGGCAGCCCTGGCAGGAGAGGGCAAAGTCAACCAGGGAAAGTCTGAAAGAGTCTGGCACCTGACCTGTGCAGGGTTAAATTTCCGTTTTCAAGGTGTTTGTACAAATAATAGCCGGTTCCCATAGCAGCCAGTCCAGGTGCAGATAAGAGCTGCCCTGTGGGCCTTGCTGTTGACCAGTAGCAGCTCACCGGCTTCACCCGGAGGTGTCTTTGAAGTAACTGGCAGGGGGCCGCAGGCGCAGGCCGTGTGGGAGGCGGTCACTCGGGCAGACAGCAGGTGGCTGGTTCAGCTCCCAGTGGGATTTCATGGGAGCCTCACAACCAGCGGAGGGCGGCACTCGGAGGGGAAGCCACCTCCCCAAGGCCACAAGCCAGTGACGGGCTAAGCCGATGTGTAAGCCCTCAGGCGCCTGATGCAAAGTCCACTCTGTTAACTGACAAATGCTTACTCCCCAGAAACCAGCCAGGCTTTAACAAGGTCTGTGAACCAAGGGCTGTGGCCCTGGGCTTCTCTGGACAAACCCAGCCTCCTGTGGCCTGTCCAGACCTGCTGGGCAGAGCCTGCACTCCTCAAAGGCCACAGACCTTGTCGGGAGTCCTGGCGCAC